TTGCTCCTTCTTCAAATGTTCCCTTTCTTCTCTGACACAAGGCAGTGTGTGGTCACTGTAACACCGCTGAGATAGGAGAGGAGTCTGGGTAATTGAAGGAGGAGAGGAGGACAAAGGCATTAATGAAGTTCCCACTCAGCAATGATCCTTGTGAAAATTCTGATGCTTCGCATCTGATGATTTTCAGGACACACAACACATGCTCCTCCCTCACACTTACACCTGCTGACAATTCTGCATCCTGGGTTTTTGGAGTTTTCTTCCCCCACTTAACATAATAAGGAGAGCATTTGCCTGTGTGATTTGCCTCACCTCTTCTCCCCTCCTGCTGCATTTCTCTAAGAGGGAGAGGGGTGAGCCCTCACCTAGCTTGTGGGGGTCCATGGGTTCCATCCCTGGCACCAGAAAAAAAAATGCTCAAAGTGTGGCCAGGGGTTCATAGGCTGCAGAATCAGATGGAAAGCCCCTTTAAAATGAGAGCTTTCCCCAGGGGATCTATGTGTGCCATAAACTTGGGGACACTCCCTCATGCAGGGGCTCCCAATAGGCTGCATGCTTGAAGACTGACATCAGGCTGAACGAGTCACATGGCTGGCTAAGAAGATGGAGACGAGGACTGGCAATGATTTAATGCTGTGTGACCTCCTGCCATGGTGGTTGAGCTTTCTCCCACACTCATGGAGGGCTCTCCTGCCAAGACTGCTAAAAACAAATATTCCTTCTGGGGTGCAAATATAGAAATGTTTTGTCACCAGGATGCACACTCATTTGTAACTCACGGACTTTAGGGTCACAATTTTGACTTTGCTTTCTGAGAAGTTTGATTTCTGAATTTCACATCTCTGGCTGTTGGGATTTTCCACGTGGCAGCCCCAGTATTTGGTGCTACAAAGAGGATGTCCAAACAGGTGGCTGCAAGAAACTTCCTCCGCTGTCCTGATTATGGGTGCAGAAGGAAGACCTTGTCCCCCCAGTGTGAGTCCATCCTCTTAACTGATGTCTACTAAATTCATGGGTGGCAAGGGTCTGAGCTGAGCCATCTCAGTACGGTCCTTGCCTGGATGGATTTGCATGCTGTTTGTTACTGCTGATGGAAGCAAATGAGACCCTCCCTGTGCACGTATGTGAACAGAGCCTGCAGGACTGGTGGAGGAGAGTCAGGCATTCTCACAGGGAGGTTTCAGCATGAATTTGGAAGCAGTGGGCAAATCCATAGCCTTCATTGTCCAAGAAGAAGCAGAAAGACCTTTCGCTTCCTCAGCAGAGAACACTGAAGTTTAGAGTTGGATTATTTACACATGTTCTCTCCCTGAGCTGAATTAGCAAAGCTCAACACAGGGCAGGAAGTCCTGGGAGGCTTCATGGAAAACTAGGTCCTAGCCTTGGCTGGCTGTGTGGCTCCCACAATCCTCTCACCCTCTCTGTTGCATTGGACTCCCAAAGGTAGAGTGAGAAGAAGAAAAGTATTTTCTGGCTGGTGTAGTGGATGAAGGAGATGGGGGGGGAGGAAGACTATACAAAAGGAAAATGTCACCATCAATTCCCACTCCTTCCTCCGTAATATTGTATCATTCTGCGCCATCTAAAGACCTCCTGCAGTTTAAGTGCATCAGTGTGTTTTAAAACCTTGGGAACAACTTTGCAAAAGAACTCTAATCCAATATCCCAAACAAATAACGATCAAAACAGACAGGCTTGAATGCAATGGGGTGTGGGGGCCCCTCAGAATCTCCCATCATGCCGCCATACTGGGTGGCCTCTGAACTGGCTCTGTGGAACCCCTGGGGTGCCAAGAAGCACAGTTTGACAACAACGGATGTAGTCCAATGCCTATCTCTGAAGAACTGAAGCCCAGAGAGGCAAAAACCATGACCCAAGTCCTGAGGTCCTCCATTCTTTCCTGAGGATTCTTTGAAGAACAACGACGATGACAGTTGCTGGGTATCTCGTCCCAACTGCAGGCAACAGAAGCAACTGAGATGATGTGTGACTCAGTGCTTGCTGAGGGACCCCTGGTGCCAAGGCAGGGGAGTGGGTCTGGGTGAGATGGGATTGCTTCAGACGGTGCCCTGGCTGGGTATGGCACTTGGGAACAGGAACTTGGGGCTGGACCTCTTGGGTCTGAATCCAACTTTCACCACTTCTTAGCTGAATGGTCTAGCCTGGTGCTGGTCTGCTTAGCAGGACCATGCAGCTAGCAGGGTGTCTCCAGGCAGACGGGGAGCTGTCCAGCATCACAAGAGAGGACCCTACTGAATATTGCTAGCCTGGGAATAGATCAAAATCCCAAACTGAAAGTATGGTAAGGGTTCGTTAAAATTCACATGATCCCGTCTACTCAGGAGATGGAAGTAGAAGATTCATGTTCAAGGCAAAAGAAATGGAGACCTCTGTCTCAAAAACAAGCCATGCATGGTGGTGCATGTCTGTAATCCCAGCTACACGGGAGGATCATGGTCCTAGACTGGCCCAAGCAAAATTGCAAGACCCTATTTGAAAAACATACTAAAAGAAGCACTGGGGACACAGCTCAAGTGGTAGAATGCTTGCCCAGGAAGTGTGAGTCCTTGAGTTCAAATCCCAGTGTCACCAAATAAAAATCAACGTGGTGTTTACCTCCATGCCTGGCACCTAACAAGTGCTCAGCGACCAGCGGCTGTGATCATTCTAGGAGTTCTGAGATCACGGTCTGTGGGCTTGCTCCTCGCTGCTGCCTGCCCCATGGCCCTGTGGAAATAGTTTCCATGGAGGCTCAGGAGGGTGGGGAGATGAGGAAGAGCTGGGGCAGAGCGTGGTGGGCTTCAGCTCTGCACCTGCCGCTCCCCAGCCGCCCTGGAGGATCTGGGTCACAGTGGCTTCTGGGTTCTCCCCCAGCACAGCAGCGCCTCTCTGGAATGGATCCCAAGAGAAAAGCCACCATTTCTAACACTGCGAGTCAGAGCACTGTGAAGACCTGGGGGAAACACTGGCCCCGGTGGCTGCAGGAAGAGCTGCCAGGGACCCTCTGCAGGCTATGATGCCCAGGCCCCTCCCATCGGTTCTCTCGCACAGGGTCCATCACGCAGTCCAGACCATGGAGGGGTGGACAGGCTCCACCAAGCCCAGTGGCTGTGTCTGGAATGGGAAAAGTCCAGGAAGGAAGGGCAAGGAGATGACTTCAACTCAGCAGGAAGTGTTTTTAAATAAAACCACCTGAGACAGAAACAGGGGTCCCACAGGTGGAGTGGTCACACAGCCTGGCTGTCTCATTACCCAGTATGTGCCTTGAGCTCAGAGGCATTGTTGTGGAACTTTCTAGAAAGCAGCACCTCCGGCTCCAGACCTGGTATTTCAGAACCTGTGTTCACATGAGCACCTGTGTCACCGTGTGCACACGATGTCTGGGAAATTCTAGTGTGATGCACACAAAACACGGGCTGTAATTTTGGCTCTGCTGCTACCTAGCTGTGTTACCATGGGCAAGTCACTTAACTCCTCTGTGCCTCACTTCCCTTGCTTGTAAAATGGCATCATAGCAGTGTCTGTCCCCTAGGGTGGCCAAATGCCTCCATGCCAGGCAAACAGTAAGTGCCACATAAGTGTACGTCAATATTGGCATCACTCCATTCTGCTTGCTTTTGCTGGGCACCAGTGTGGGAGTGGGCTTTTCCCACCTGGTCATTTGTCCATTCATGCCTGAGTATCCACGACTCACTGAGCTGGCTCCGAGCACACAGCAGGTGACAGGACAGACAAGATCCCTGGCCCATGGAGACTCATGGTCCAGAGGGCAGTTGGAGACTTGTTTCAAGCCAGTTAATAATTTAATGCAGAGAATCTCCCAGCTACGAATATGACAGATATGGGGAAAGTGACTCTTGGTGTAAATGAAATGGGTGAGCCAAGAAGGCTTCCAGGAGGAGGTGATAAAAATAACTGGAATCTTCAGGGTGAGGGGATCGAGGCAGGGGAGGTGTGAAAGTGTGTGCGTGTGTTTGTGTAATGGAAAAAAAGAGCAATCACAACTGTGTGTGTATGTGAGATTGTGCATTGCAGGCATAAGGAACAGAATGTGCACAGACACTGAGGCAGAGTAGAGCTGGAACTACAGGAAGGCTAGCGTGAGTATGACAATGTTTCTTACACTTGAGTGTGCGTCAGAACTGCAGGAGGGCTTGTGAATACAAAGATCACTGGGCCCATGCCTAGAATGGTTGATTCAGCTGGGCTGGGCTGGGGCCCAAGAACCTGCATTTCTCATGAGCTCTCTGCTGTTCCTCCTGCAGCTGGTCAGGTAACCAGCATGACACTGAGCATTGACCAAGACCAAAGGGAGAAGAGGTTCCAGGTTTCATCTGGGACCAGACCACAGGAGGTCTTGGAAGCCACAAGGAAAGGCAATCACCAAAGCTTTTAAAGTGGACCAGGGGTGACACAATCCAGTTCATTTATGCTTAGAAATGTCACATGGTAGTGGTGGAAACTGTGGAAGGAGGTCACTAAGGTCATCCAGAAGACAGATGGCAGTGACCGGTGATGACAGAGAGAAATAGGTAGATTCCAGAGTATTAGGGACACAAAAGGAACACTGAACGTGTCAGGGAAGACACCAGGAATCTGGTTTGAACATGTTGGTGGGTGACGGTGACATCTCTGTAACACAAGCTGGGGATGGGGACAGAGAGCCACCGGGCTAAGGACTTAGTTTGAAAGCATTAGTCTGACATGCCTGTGATGACATCCAAGTGCAAATGTCACGTGACGAATCAGACAACAGATCTAGAGCACCAAGGCAGTTCCCCTGGAGGAGACCACATCACACAGGAAGTCACTGCCTAGATGGACTTTGAGATCGTGATCTCCACGCAGGTTGCTGATGTTTTAGGAATGTGTTGGGAGGTTCATGCCTTCTTCTGAAGGGATGTCCACGAGACAGGGCTCAGAGGTGAAGTGTATCACACGGTCCACGATAGCTGCTGGGCCCCAGTCCCATGAGGTTTTCATTGCCTGTCTGCCTCCAGGCGCCTGGTGGATCGGCTGGAGAACATGAGGAAGAATGTGGCTGGGGACGGAGTGAACCGCTGCATCCTGTGTGGGGAGCAGCTGGGGCTGCTGGGCTCTGCCTGCGTGGTGTGCGAGGACTGTAAGAAGGTACGATTTCCTCTTTTCCTGCCTTGCACCTGTGGGGGAGGGGCTGGGCTCCAGCTTTGTGGGCCTGGGGTCTCGGAGAGGGGTGGAACTTAACTCAGGATGCTCCCATGGTCATCCTGATCCTAGTTCCTTCCCCTGGAAGTCACTCTAGTACTTTGGGGCTCCACCCTGGATGAACTTGAGGATACGGACAGTGGCAGAGCTAGTGAGGACCCTGTTTGTGACTTGGCAAGTTGAGTGTTGGCTGCAGGGTCTGCTGGGCACCGGTGTGTACAAGCATGCACGTCACATGCTTTCAGCATTCTCTTCCATGGGTTAGGACACAAGACTCCGAAACCTTCTCCAGTCAAGCTAGATCCTTGGGCTCTGAGAACTTTCATCCCTGAAGGGAAGCCCCCTGGCTCTCCTCACTATCCAGACTGTCTGCACTTGATATTCATCTTTAGGTCTGCCTGATCACAAACAAGGGAATCTCAGCTGGGGACATCCATCAGGTCACTTGGAATCTAGTGCTTGGTGCTACATTTGGAGTGGGAGAAAAAAAAACCCTCATCTATTCTGAAAAATATATCCACTACAGTCATCCAGTTAGTGAGAACCTGTATGTTGGGCTGTGTTTTGTCCCCAGAATGTGTGCACCAAGTGTGGAGTGGAGACCTCCAACAACCGCCCACACCCCGTGTGGCTTTGCAAGATCTGTATGGAGCAGAGAGAGGTGAGTGACCCAGTCCTGCTGGCTCCTGCAGCTCTCTGTCCCTCTGCAGAACCAGGGAGACACAATGGTCACATGGAGGCTGGGAGTCCTGGTTGGGTCTTCAATCTTAGGGGTTTGGTATGCAAGAAACCAACCTGGTAGAATGACCTCAGTGTTTGCATGGGTTTCTTTTCTACTACCCTTGTTCGTTTTTTCCCCCTTCTTCCCTCTTTATTCACCACTCTCTGGCTTCAATTCCCCCCCTTCCCTGTTGCTCACCTGCTGGGTTTTCCTCTCCCAACACCTTTTCTTTCTCTTTCTCTCTATTCTATCTCTCCAATTCTCATCTTTGTGTTTTTCTTTCCTTCTATTCTCCCCTTCTTGTGTGGTATCTTTTTTTCCCTCATTCTCCCAGTGTCCCCTTTTCACACTTTCTCTTTATTCTGTTTCTTCCGTGAGAGTCTTTTCTTACCCAGACCTGCCATTACTTTACTCAAATTAAAGAATTTCTCCTCCCAATTTCTTCATCACTCACCCCACCACACACACACAAATTCCTGCCCTTGAGACCTTGTCTCAGTGACCACGTCCTCCTCAGTGTCAGTTGGGGGCCTGAGAGGTCACAGTTGGTACACAGGGAGGCCCAGGAGGGGTTCATGAAGGTGTAGTTTGCAAAGGTCAGAGCTTATGGGACATCAGGTTACTGGAAATAGATAGTAAATCCCTTCCTAGGACCGGCAACAGCAGGGTGGCTTTTGCCATTCCCAAGACTGAGCAGAGGAGGGGAAGCTATGGAGCTGGAAGATAGGTGTAGCCTCATGGAAATGCCATCATTGTCCAGCTCCCACTCTCCCACTCTCCTCTGTGCCTGCCGACTCCTGCACTCTCCTTGACTAAGTAGCCTGAAGATCACATTCAAGGAAATCCATTTCCTGCAGCCTCCAGGGGCACAGAATAGGGTGGGGCAGCATGGAGAATGGATCTTACAGAAGGAATAGAAGACGTCCCTCATGTTATCCTGGGGGTGCTGCACTGTCTAGCCCATAGGGAAGGAGAAAGGCCTGCAGTGTTGGGGAAATTGTGGGTGAGTCACACTCTTTACCACAACCAGTGCAGCCACAGTTAAGAGGTGGTAGACTTGCCATCGAGCCCTTGTTCTTGTACTCTCTTGCTGAGTCCTATGAGGCCAGCCCTTAGCATTTCTGAAATTCAACTTTCCCCATCACTAAAACAGGCACCAGTGGGCTGGTTGTGTTGAACTTGGAAAGCTGATGTGTGGAATAAGTAAGTGTGTGAGTTATGGTGCCCATGGGGACAAAAATAACCACTGGTTCATAAAGAGAAGAGCAATAGTGTGTGGCTGCTGAGTCTTCAACTCTTCCTCTGTCCCCAGGTGTGGAAGCGATCTGGAGCATGGTTCTTCAAGGGCTTTCCCAAACAGGTCCTCCCTCAGCCTATGCCTATAAAGAAGACCACGCCCCGGCAGCCTGTTGGTGAGCAGACTGTTCTGGAGACCAAGCATACAGCCCGGATCCCAGCTCGAGGTAAGAGAAAAAGTACATCCCACCCCAGCACCAAGGACAGCTCCCGGCCAACTGGTCTACCTAGAGGATGTTCTGCCATGTTCCTATAACTGTCCAGTGGTGGGCAGTTGGCCTCTAGACTTGGATCCAGAGCTCCTTTTCCCATCCACAGCTCGCTGTGAAGCATGGGGGTGACATGGGAAACTCCAGCACATCCAGGCTGCCAAAAGACCTGGCTCTTCTCCCTGGTGAACAATTTAGAGTAGAAAAGAAGGGGAAATTAAAAGTGCAAATTGGCAGAGACTTCCACCACCAAAAGACACCTGGTAGCCTGGAGGACTTGCTGAAGATGCCTTCCTGGCCCCTTGTATTTCTATCAGCCATAAACAAATCTAAAATTCAACTAATTAAAAGTTAAAGATAGAGCTGGGCACCTGCCTGCCTCATAAACTTGAGGCCCTGAGTTCAAACTCCAGTACCAACAAAAAAAAAAGTTAATAATGAACCAGGTGTGGTAGTGCACACTTGTTAATCCCAGCGTTTGGAAGACTGAGGCAGGAGGATCTCGAGTTCAAGGCCAGCCCTGTCTCAAAACAAAAGTGAAAATGAATAGAACAGAAATTAGTAAAAATAAATGACCAATACTCTTGCTATATCTTTACTATACAAATATTATTGATTATTAAGATGATGACTGAAAGGGAAAGACAAAACTGTGGGAAAAAAAAAGCAACCACAATAAGAATAAACACATTTTAATTGGGTTAACACCTGGGACTGGCCAGATAAAGTCTTGTAATGACTTTGGTGAACACTTGTCACTGCAATCTGCCCAAATGGGGACTCTGGAGCCAAGCACAGGCAACACTTACGAAAAGAATGCTGTACATAATTCAACATCTCAAAAATGGCAGCGTTCCACTGTATTCCATAAGACACTTCTCAAGGTACCCAGCACAGGGCCTGGCACCAACACCCCCAGAAATGCTTTCTTCCTGGCAAGGCACCATTAGTAATGTGGGGCATTGTGGGGAATTTCCAGTTGTCAGCAGACAGTGCGCTCCTGAGCAGGGCCTGGATTCCCCTCCAGACTCCTATCAGCTGTTACTCCCCACCCTTCCACCATCCCCCCATTTCCCCCCTGAGTCCCCACGTTACCTCCTCCCACACACAGCCCTTTGCAAAGACCGCACAGCACACTGTCCTTTTCTAAGCCGATGTGCACTTGTAGTTTTGTGTGGGCAAAGGAAATAAAGCCAAATTGCAAAGGAGAGCTAGATCAGAGGGGAGATTAATCTTTTTCAATGTTCTTTCTTTTCTAGGGTTTAGACTCAGGGCCTCACACTTGCTAGGCAGACTCTCTACCAGCCCTTTTGCCTTTAGTTATTTTTCAAATAGGTTCTCGTGTTTTTCTCTGGGGCAGGCCTTAGACCATAATCAACCTATGGTCTCCAACATAGCTGGGATGACAGATGTGCACTGTCATGTCCAGTTTATCTGTTGAGATGGGGTCTTGCGAACTTTTTACCTGGGCTAGCCTCGAACCTTGATCCTCCCCATCTTTGCCTCCAAGTACCTGGGATTACAAGTGTGCACCACTGCCTGGCCTTTTTTTTAAATGTTTTGGGGAGGAGTGGATAAGCCCCTTTTTGATCTTCTGAACTAATAACTCTCCAGACACCAGAAAACCCGGGTTCCCATTACCTCTCTCTCTCTCTCTCTCTCTCTCTCTCTCTCTCTCTCTCTCTCTCTCTCTCCAGGTGACCCTGAGGACAGGAGGAGTCCAGGTCAGAAGACAGGTGAGTTCTGCCAACTCTGCTTCTGCTTCATACTTTGGGACAGGATTCCTTTACCCATGCCTCCATCACCTTCCTCTGTTCCATCTGTGCTTCTCCTTCCAGGCCCTGATGTAGCCTCTGCCCCTGGGCGAGGAAGCTTTGGGCCTCCAGTGCGCAGGGCCTCTGAGGCCAGAATGGGGGCATCGCCCCGGGATTCAGACAGCTGGGACCATGGCCATGGCGGGGGCACTGGAGATGCCAGCCGGAGCCCAGCAGGTGAGGGACAGGCAGGTCCAGAGGTGCCCATCGGAATCAGGAAGAGGGAGAATGGGAGAGTTTTCACTCATTTGCCCACCCCGTCTTTACTGAGCACCTATTGCATACCGTGTCCTATTCTAGATGCAGGTTCTAGTCTATGGTAGAGAAAAGACTGGATTCATGAACATTTCTGGGTCCTGGTGTTCACATTTTGGTCATGGCCTCTTCTTGCCCTAGCATCATGTGTAAGAAAAGTGGTTTTTTTTTTTTTTTGAGTCAGGGTCTGAAGAAAACCCAGGGAGAAATGCCTCTTGGCTTTGAGAAAAGTCAAGAGATATTCGAGTCCTTCCTTCCCTTGTCACATGGCCTCTCTGTGAAGACAGGGCAGTCAGCATGGCCAGGACACCACTGACAGGTGCTGGCATCTGGGGTCCAGCACCCCTGGGTTCCCAATTGTGGACTTATGTGGCAGGGGCATCCACAATGGGGTTTTTGGTCCATGAGTTTCTGTTGTTGAGGTGCTGGGATTTGAACTCAGAGCCTTGCACTTGCTAGGTGGGCACTCTACCACTTGAGCTAAACTTGGTTTTATTTCCATTTTGAGATAGCATCTCACTAACCTTGCCCTGGCTGACCTTGGACTGCTGTCTTCCTACTCTGCCTCCTGAGTCACTCGGGTTCCAGGCAGGCACCGCCACAGTCTCAGGATGGGGACATCTGTTGCTTTGCTAGTGAGGCGCTGAGTCTGGGTCTGCATCGGGTGGGCTGAATGTTTGGGTCCTGCATTGACCTCTGGTTTTTGCTTTCTTAGTTGGGGTTCATGGCTTAGCACCTCAGTTTCCCCTTCTGCTTGGCCACAGAGCTGGGCACACACAATCTGCTGTCCCAACACACCATACTGTGGTTCAGATGGGCAGAAAAAGGCAAACGTCTAAACCTACACCATCACAGAATGCTTGCACCAATCACGATCCTGAGCACTTCACGCAAGGCCTTCAATTAATCCTTGCCACAATCCCAACATCCAGGGATGGGGCTTTGGTGATCCCCATTTTACAGATGGAAAAACTGAGGCCCAAAGACGTGAAGCCACCACCTGTCCTGGGTTACACAGCTGATCATTGATTAAAATGAGAATTAAACCTACATCTGAGCAACACCAAAGTCTGCACTTCTCATTTTTCTCTACCAGAGATGTAGGGGTTTTTTTGTCCATGCTTTTCATTTTTCTTTTGTAAAACATATAAAAATTACATAGAGTTTATTATATATAATTTACTATTTTGACCACTTTTCATATACAGTTCAGTAGCATAAAATACACATTGTTGCACCACCACCTCAACATTCTCAACTGAAACTTTGTATCCATGAAACAATGATTCGGGTCCTCCATCCTTCCTGCCTGCTCTTTCTGTCTCTATGAGTTACACTGTTCTAGATGTCACATGTAGGTGGAATTGGACGATTTGTCTTTTTGTACCTGGCTTATACCACTTAGCATGACATCTTCAAGGTGCATCTGTGATTATGTCAGAATTTCCTTCCTTTTTATTTATCAGTTGAGGAACACTTGAGTTGTCTCCACCTTTTGGCTATTATAATTAGTGCCCTGTGAGTAAAACAAACAAATATCTCTTTAAGTCTTTCGAGTACACACCTTCAAGTGGAATTGCTGCACTGTTCGGCAATGGTGTATTTAATTTTTTGAGGAACCACCCTATAGTTTTCCACAGTGTGGACAGCACTTTCAGATTCCCCACCACCAATTCGAGAGACTTCTAATGTCTCCATCCTCACCAACACTTGCTCTTTTCTAGGTTTTCTTGGGTTTTATTTGCTTTTTTGTTGTTTTAAATCATAGCTATCCTCATGGGGTGACGTGGTGTCTCAATGTGGCATTGCATATTTAATTTGCATTTCCCTAAATATCAGTAGGGTTGAGCGTCAGTTCACGGGCTGATAGCCATTTGTAGGTCGTCTTTTGAGAAATACGTTTATTTTAGTCCTCGGCCCACTTTTAAAAATTGGGCTGTTTTTCGTTGTTGAGGTGTGGGAGTATCATTCTGGATACTAATACCTTATCAGATTTGTCATTTATAAATATTGTCACCTACTGTGTGGCCTGCTTATGTATTTTACTCAAGTGTCATTTGATGTGCACAGGTTCTTAACTTTGAGGAATTCCAATTTTTTTTCTTTTGCTTCCTGTGTTATTCACCTAATGTCTAAGAGTCATGAAGGTTTCCTTTTATGTTTTCTTCTAAGGTTTTGATAGTTTTTAGCTCTCTCGTTTGGGTCTCTGATCCCTTTAGAGTTAATTTCTGCATATCAAACCCTGTGCTTTTCATCTCTAAATTATTTTGCCTCCTGCGGGAAACCACAGTTGTAGGTCGTTCCCGCAGGCAGACTCGGGTCCCTTGTCCCTCGAGAGTTGATGTCAGTTCTCCCCTGACCTGTGGGACTTCTGTCCCCCTGCCCTGCCTCAGGCTGGTCCCTTGCTCGCCCGGCGTGAGGAGCTGCAGCCCCAGGCTGCACTGAGCACCATGGCTGTCACCTGAACCCCCAGCCCCGCTCTAGTTAATACCGGGCATGGGTCTCTCTCCTTGAGTTCATTTGTTCCCAGGTATTTATTGAGCCCTGCTATGGTTTTAGCTCTGTCCTCGTTTGCCAGCCCATAATAAGACTCCCGAGTAACCGAGGGCTTTGCAAACTGCAGTAAGCTCACGAAGACAGCCCGGGTGTCCTGTGCACACGCACTCGTGGCTCCCCCTGGGGAGGCTGAGAGCCTGTCACATCCGGGTAGGAAAGGACTCTGTCACCCGCGGCTGTAACAGGGAACTCACCGCCTCACACAGCAGCCTTTCTGATGCTTGCATGTTGCTTCTTCAACAAGCATTTATTTAACACCTATTGCATGCACGCCTGGTATTAAGCACTGGACATATCACTGATCAGCCGTGCTCCCAGCCCTTAGGAGCTCCTGGGCCAGTGGAGGAGAAAATGAGTAACTCAGAAACGACAGTGGCATGTTCTAGCTGCCATGACAGACAGGCTAATGAGAATAACAACAGTCCAAGTTTATTGAGTGCTTACTGTGTGCTAGGTACTGTGCTAAGTATTACATACGCACTGTCTCATGAAACCATCCAAAAAATGTACAGGGTCTCAGAACCCAGAACACCCAACCCTGTTTTGGGAATCCCAGAAAGGTTCCCAGAAAAGAGGGTGGCGGGGGCTGCTGAAGGAGAGTGACATTAGAAGCAAAACAAGTACAGCAAATTCGTGTGTGGGTGGGACAGGGTAGAAACTGTAGTGCCCCAGGCAGAAGGCAGCGCGTGCAAAGGCGTGAGTGCAGGCGGTCAGCATGGCCCCAGCATTGAGCGCTGATGGGGTGAGAGGTGACAAAGGTGGCCTCTCCCACAATTGTCCAGCGCACATCCTGAGCTACTGTACACCACAGCCCTCCATTTACAGATGAGAGCCTCCCATTCTCACTTCATCTATCCACATTGCCCTGGAGACACTAGCTATTGCAATAAGACAGGAAAAAGCATAGCATGGAAAAGTTGAGGAAAAAGAAGCAAAACTCTCTCTGTTGAAGACTTTACGGTTGTGTAGAAACTCCTGAAGAACCTACAACCACCAGGTGAACATTGTAAGGTCACAGGATACGAGGCTACAGTAGAAAAAGCAAGAAAGAGCATCTGTTTCCCCAGGTATCTACAATGCCAGGCCGTGTGTGATAGGAGCCCTGACAATGGGGTGTGTGCTGTGGGAACTCAGAGAGCAAGGTGATCTATTACAGCTCAGGGGAAACAGAGCTGATCAAGGAAGACTTCCTGGAAGAGGTGACGTCTACCCTGAGCATTGAGGCTCAAGTAGTGTTGCCTAGGCAGAAGTGGAGGGAGGGCATCCTGGATGCCGGGACGGAATAAGCCAATGTGTGGAGGTCAGCAGGGCGCAGAGTGGGTGTCAGACAATTTGGCTGGAAGAGATGGGAGCAGCAGGTGAGGAGAGGTGAGTGGCAGGCGCACACATGAGATGCTTCTTGGGAATATCGGTTCCTCTGCTCCATCAGGCCCATTAAGTCATAATTCCCAGGGTTTCTTTAAAAAACAAAAACAAAAACAAAACTCAAGTGATTTCAGTGAACACTGAAGCTCCAGAGCCTGTACTTAAGAGCCGAAAAGCTGGCTAAAAGAGTTGTGGCTGTTTCCTGAGGACATTAGGATTTTGAGCAGGGAAGGGCCAGCGGTCTCACCTTTGTCTACGACTCACACTTAGCACAGGTGTGGCCATACGACAGGCACTCAAATCCCACCTTGTGGCTGAGATTGATCAAAGGGGTCTGTAGCACCCTTTTGGTGCCACCTCTTGTCCCTTGCTGCATCACAAAAGCCAACATGCCACCAGCCATGGGTGGCCAGCACACTCAGCTCCACACATCCTTCAGGGCTGAGTGCCAAGGCCCTCAGTGAATCTGACCACACCCTAAACGCCCCATAAGAGGTCACCTCTTCTTCCTCCATCCCCTGTGCTGTCATTGTCACTCACAGACAGCACAGGTCATTGTCAAGTGCACAAGCCCCAGAATCCATGAAGCATCTGAGGTCCTGAGAGGGTGAGTGAGCAGCCCAAGGTCACACAGCTTATAAAGGAAATGGCTGAGATGCCAAGCCGAGTCCGTGCAAAACAGAGGTTGAGCCCTTCAGTAATCATGGAACAGTGTCAGCATCGGAGCACTTCTCCTGTGTCGTAGCATCTCACAGCCCTGCGAGGCCAGCACTGTCACCCCATCTAACAGAGGAGACGCTAAGCCTGCAGAAGACAGTGCACGTGTGCAGTCACACAGGAAGAAATGGAGGCAGACCTGAGCTTTCTAACAACCACACCGTGGCTGGGATTTTCCTGGAGGGGCCTCATAATGGAAACTTAACTTTATTTATTTCTATATGGGACAGGGTCTCAGTGTGTAGCCTAGGCTGTCCTCGAACTGTCAGTCCTCCTGTCTCTGCCTCTTGAGTGCTGGGATTACAGGCATGCCCTACCACACTTGTCCGCTGAGCACCGAAAAGAGAGAAAGCACGGAGGACCCAGAGAAGAGTTGGGAAAAGCTGGGGGCTGTGGAGACCCCTGCTCCTTCCTGCCGTATGTGCACACATGTGTGCATGCATGTCAGTGACCACGCACTGTCCTCTCTTTGCAGGTTTGAGACGGACCAACTCGGTCCAGGCCTCCAGACCTGCTCCATCCTCTGTGCCAAGCCCAGTGCCTCCTCAGCCCGCACAGCCAGGTACCCAGCACATCAGCCACTGTCAGTGGAGACCCTGATTCCTCCTGTCCATCTTGCAGTGCTACCCAACCCCAAATGGGGTGGAGGAGGTGGAGGGAGCACCTTATCCCTATACCCCACTCCCAGGCGAGAAGGGACAGTGTCCCATTCACCAGGTCCCCCCTCCAGCCTTGCAGTCTCCAAGGAGGACCTGCGGCTCAGGAGGGTCCTGTAGCCCTGGGTTTGGACCAGGGCTGGGACCAGAACCCAAGGCCTCCTGCTTGTTGCCACTGAGCTGTGCCTCGTTTCTCAAACCCAGGCCCTTCTGACCCCCAACTCCTTCCCCAGAAGGACTTTTCCTGCAGCCTCAGTGACTGCATGTCACCTGCTGCCCCAGGCCTGTGTCCACCCTGTGAGATGGGGGGGAAGAACGAGCACCCAGGTGCGCCGTCCTCACCACACCCCAACTCCCTCTCTCTTCTCTCTCCTTCAGGGCCCCCTGGGGGCAGCAGAGCCACTTCGGGGCCAGGAGGACGCTTTCCAGAGCAGAGGCCAGGCAAGTGTGGCTTTCTCCCCTGTGGCCACAGCTCCCACTGCCCCCAAGAGAGCAGGGCCGCTGGGTGTCGGCTTAGCCTGCACCGCGAGACTTGCCTGATGAGTCAAAGCCGTCTCCTCTTTCCACACCCGAACTGTCTGTCCACACTGAGACGAGGCAGACAGAAAATGTCGCCCAGAGCGGCCCAGCCTGAGGACTGCTAGATTCTGTGCCCTGTGTGGCCTGGAACGAGTGACTGTGCTTACGTGAGCCTCAGTACCCTCATCTATAAAGTGGGGATGACTGATAACAAGGACCTAGCTCACAGAGTGTTGGGAGAATTAAAATAATGCATTAAAAAAAAAAAAAAAAACCTTAGCATGGAGCCCAGAATGTGTTAGGCACATGCTCAGTGACAGCGACTGTCACACACAGCTGATATTCACAGCCTCCCCACCAGCACCACAGCTACCACGTCTCCACTGGTCTCCAGGGGACTGGGCACTGCTTTAATGCTGCACAAATGTTAGCCTTAAGTGAATGCCTATGCTACTGACGTGCCTTCAGGGACCATCAATCCCATTCTACAAAGGAGGAAAGCAAGGCTCAGAGACGTTAAGTAACCTGCCTTAGGTCACACAGCCCAGATTCAAGTGCACACCGCTGACTGCATCCCCCTTGAGGTCTGCTTTAACCTGAATCTGAATGGGCGCCCTGGGCTCGCTCTCAAATGCAGGTTCCCAAGGCCCCACTGCGGGCCCATTGGTTCTGAGTGGACCTGGGAACCTGCATTTTTTAAAAAGTTCCCGCGGCTCCATTGTTAGGAAGGAGGGACTCAGTTGTCTCTTTTCTGTCCTCTCCCAACGTCCCGACAGAGGTGGCTCCAAGTGACTCCGGCTATCCAGGGGCCACCGCCCCACCCCGGGAGGAGAGAACAGGGGGAGTTGGGGGCTTCGCAGCACTCGGAGTCAGGGAGGACCGAGTGGCGCACACACCGGGTCCCTATTCCCAAGTGTCTGCCGCGGTCCCCGCCCGCCAGCCGCCACCCCAGGAGGAGGAGGAGGAAGAGGACGCCAACAGCTACGACTCGGATGAAGCAAGTAGGTGGCCTTTCGGGGGCGAGGTCTCCCAGTCCTCTGGGGAGCCCACTGACCCCAGAGAGACCGGGATGGTCTGAGATACCCCACTCCCTATTACAGCCACTCTGATGGTTGTATTCAAGTTGGAAAAATACAAATTTTTGTTCCGAATCCACAAAACAACATCAACTTTCCAAAGAGGGAGTGACACATTTTTTTTTCATTTTTAGTATTTATTTATTTATTTTATTCATATGTGCATACAAGGCTTGGGTCATTTCTCCCCCCTGCCCCCACCCCCTCCCTTACCACCCACCCCGCCCCCCTCCCTCTCTCCCCCACCCCCTCAGTACCCGGCAGAAACTATTTTGCCCTTATCTCTAATTTTGTTGAAGAGAGAGTATAAGCAATACTAGGAAGGAACAAGGGTTTTTGCTGGTTGAGATAAGGATAGCCATACAGGGAGTTGACTCGCACTGATTTCCTGTGCCACATATTTTCTATGTTATTTATTTTCACAGCACTGGGCATGGAACCCAGAGCCTTGTGCACACTAGGCAAACTTTCTACCTCTGACCAACACCCCAGCCCTAGGTTTTCTGGGGCAGGGTCTCCCTGTGTAGCCTAAACTGGCCTGGAACTTGCAGTCCTCCTGCCTCAGCCTCCCAAGGGCTGGGATTACAGACGTTCTCCACCACGCCTGACTGCTATATATTTTTATGGTGGTAAAACACACATAACATCAAAGTCACTATTTGAATCATTTTAAAGACTGCAATACAAATGGCATTAAATTATATTCTTCATGTCCAATCTGGCAGTTCTTTGAGTTAAATAGAATTATCACAGGACCTATATCCCACTGGTAGGCATGTGTCTATATTGTAATCATTTTAAGATGCTGTAGAGTGTCTCTTCCAAAAGCAAGGTTAGGTGTGACTTTTAAAGTACTGGACATGTCCTGTTAATCCATCCATTCAATGTTTTATTAAGCGCCTACTGTGCTTACTTTCTCACCCTGACCCTGAGGCCCAGGCACACACACCATGGACTTTTCTCTCTGCAGCTGTTGTGGACGACATCAGTCTTCAAGACAGTCCTGCCTTGTTTTCATGGAGCTCTCAGTTTAGTAGGACAGGGTTATTAATAAATAAGCATGCAAACGACTGACTGATCACAGAGTACAGGATCACCTGGAGGGTCACCTGGGATGCAGCATGCAGAGAAGACATGACTCTTTCTTTCTTATGTAGCCCCAATGCCAGGCCAGACTGGACACATAGTAAGTGCACAGGAAGTGTTTGTTGAGTGACTAAACAAATCTTCTCTTGCTTCCTGACACTGCCCCCGCTCAGCCACCCTGGGTGCCCTGGAGTTCAGTCTTCTCTATGACCAGGACCACAGCTCCCTGCAATGCACCATCATAAAAGCCAAGGTGAGTGTGGGTCCAGCTGGGGGCCTCTGAGGACACGTGACCTTTCCAGGGGACCCGGTGGGGTGGGTTAACAGGCTGTTTCCTGTTGTTGCTGACCTGGGACAGGCGCAGTGATGGAATTTCTCTGGGAAGGATGTCTTCTGAGGACAGTCCACAGGGGCTGCACTTATCTGTGGCCACCTCCCAGGAGCAGAAGTGGCTGGGATTTGAGGACTGTGCTCCGTGTCTCTGGAGGAGACTGGAGGTGTCACTTGAGAGGCAATGACAGCCTGGCATAGCACATCCCTGAGTCCACTGGCTCTTCCACAGATGCTAGTGTTGGACTGGAGCAGCAGCCTGAGGCTGACCAGGTGCTGCAGATCCAAAGACACCAACATGGGCTTCCAAGGGGGTTGGGACTGAAAAGCCACCCCACAGGTCACAGGGGGTGGGTGCTGACTCAGTCCCCAACCACAGGGAATCCCAACCCAGCCCAAATCTGGTCCACACAGAGGAACCAGCAGGCTCAGGACCACTTCCTCGCTGTGTGACTTAGGGAAGTTTCTTTACCTCTCTGTGTCTCTGATGTCCATCTGTAACATTGCAGATTAAACTAGCTTCTGTCCTCCAAGGAGGGCCAGGTGACCATCTGCTCAGGTGTGGTCAGGATGGTCTCCATCTGTGCCTGTGCTATAGTAACTAAGAGTCCCCCTCCTTTCACTCCTCAAATGTCCCTGTGTGAATGATAAATGAGAAATGATGTGCTTAGCACAATTCCCAGATCAGCAATGCCCACCCACATCACTTCCTCAGCAAGCATTTATTGAGCACCTCTTATATACCAGGCACTGTGGAACACTCGGGTGGATTTGAACCCCCTTCCCTCAAGTGAGATGAGGACCGAATATCTCACTCCATCTTCTGAGTGGCCTCTGAACTATGCCTCCTTATTAGCCCCACTGTACAGATAGGGAAACTGAGTCCAGAAAGTGAAAGCCTGAAGTTACCCAGCTGGAAGGGCTGGAACTGATCTTCCCATGTAACTCTTTTAAGAACCCCAAGGAGCTGAGGCTGCCGTCAGCCCATCAGTCTGATAGGGAAACTGAGGTCTGAGGCCACAGGACACAATTCATGGCATTTTTCTGTGAGATGGGATGGTGGAGCCTGCCTTAGCCTGGAGTGGGGGAGGAAGGACGACATCTGAGCCCCAGGAATCTGGAGGTCGCTCATATTATCAAGGTCAAATTGCTCCCTACCTCAGTCCAACTCCCTCTCTGCACAGCGACGCCTCCCAGCCCTGTGAGGGGCAGGGCAGGGACTTGTCCTCCTGGTGGACAACAATCTGAGACCGCGGCCTCATTTTCTGAGCGCAGGTGGCAGGGCCACAGACCTCAGAGGTCTCTTCTTCCCCAGCCCCTCCTCCTCCCCACCCTCACTATTCCCGGCATTTTCTTCCATCCCGTGCAAAACCAGCCAGCCTTGACGGTGTGCTGCCTATGTGCCAGGTGGACTCGAGTTCAAATCCCATCACTCCACCGGAAGATTCTGTGCTCAGCCCCACTGGACAAGAGAGAAAACCCAGGCTCAGAGAGGTTAGGAAACTTGCCTGAGGTCACACAGTTGGCAGTGACATTCTTCAAACCCTGTCTGACTGATTCCTGGGCTCCTTCCATGGCACCGTGTTCCCTTCTCTCTCTTTGGAAGAGAAAGTGCACAGGGTGGACCAAGGAGCCGGCAGGACAGAGGACAGGGGCTCTGCCGTTGTCCATGACAGCTGAGCCCCCAGCCTTCCTGAGGTCTTTCTGCCATTCCCTCTTCCTCTTACAGGGACTGAAACCCATGGATTCCAATGGCCTGGCTGATCCCTACGTGAAGCTGCACCTTCTGCCAGGGGCCAGCAAGGTACCATATGGCCCGGGCATCTCTGCAAGCTGCTGCCAGAGCCTGGCAGGCACTGGGCTCTCAGTTCAGAGCCTGAAATAGCCACGCCTGCCCCAAATCCCCAGCCCCAACCGAACCTGAGTGGCAGAGCCCCTGTGAGGGGAAAAGGCAGGGGCTCCCCCATTTCCTCAGTCTCTGAGCTGGTCCAGGGAGGTGCCAGGGGCCAGGAGGGAAACAGATACCTCAACCATGCCCTCACCCGCTCAAACACCTTCAGTGGCTCCCCGGTGCTGCTTTCTTGGTCTGCCTCCCCCACCCACTCTAGGTCACACCCAGACACTCCTCAGCTCTGGATAGAAACTAGCAACTCTCTCTCTCTCAAGAGAGAGACTCAGTCCTGCAGGAATGTCTATGGCTGAGAGCTCTGTGTTCTGGCCCCTCCTGCCTTACAGCTCCCCTCTGAGCCTTTCTTTGATCTTGGATTCATTCTCTTTGGACTGACTCACCCTGAGCACAGCTGGACATGGAAACCTGCCTTCCAGGATTTTATTTTTCACTTTGTTATCCCACAGGCGAGGGTGACAGTGCTCTTAGGAAAATGCCTGTTAGATACCTGTGCAGGTTTCAAGCTCCCCATAAGACAACAAAGATGCAAGCACACACACACTCAGCCTCACTCTTTCTTCGCTTGGATCCAGGAAAGATGGCGCCTCAACTGCCCATAGCTACTTGTAAAATGTTTGACCCCAACTCCTCCAACTCCCCAGGGCCATCAACACACACCCCTTTGTGCACCTGTGAACCCACATCCAATCCAATGTTAGTCATTTACACATTAGTGTGAATTAGATTCATTCCCTAGGCCACCACTTCTGGGTGTGGCTGCATTTCTAGCCTTCTGTCTGAGAGTAGAATGAAAACCTTTGCCCTCTTCATGTAATTTCAAGTGTGGAGGAGACTATTTGGGGAAGCAGAGGGAACCATCCAATAACCCTTGTCTAGAAACGGGAGACTCATTTCTGCCTCTTGGCCAACAAGCAATGGCTTTCTCTCTCAAGTGGCAGCCACCGTTGGGGATGTGTCAAAAGCTGAGATCCTGTTCCAAAGCTCTAGGGCGGCCGGTGCTGAGTCCTAACCCATCTGTGGGTAGCCTTGGCCCTAGAGGATGCCCTCCCCACCCCCCTACACCCAAAGCATGCATTTGGGAACAACTAACTCCTACAGGGAATGCCACCCCCTCCCCCAAATCAGCTCTCAGGGTGAGACTCAGGGCCTGCTGTTGAGGTGGGTGTCTGCCTGTCTTTCTGGGACTACAGTCTAACAAGCTTCGCACAAAGACCCTGCGGAACACCCGGAACCCTGTTTGGAACGAGACCTTGGTCTACCATGGCATCACAGAGGAAGACATGCAGAGGAAGACCCTCAGGTGCCTGCTGGGCAGTGGGCAGTCGGGGAGGCCGAGGGGACGAGGCTGCAGAACCGAGGCTCCCAGGGTCCAAAATTTCCCTGAGCTTTCTTTTCTTTTCACTTGTACAAAAACAACAGGTATTTCTAGCACAAACCTTTGAGAACACAGTCACCCCTCCGTGTCCAGGGAGGGGACTGTTTTCAGGACCCCATGGATACCAAGCTCCCCGTGGGAAATTAGTATTTTCATAGACCCTACACACTTCCTCCTGCTCACTTCTCTCTAGGTGACTTCTGCTGTCCAAGGCAGTGTAAGTGACACATAAATACTTGCCATATTGTACAGTTTAGCTTATTATGACGAGGAGAAAGAGTCCGTAAGTGTTCAGTACAGACACAATTGTTTTTCAAATAGTCCATCCATGGTTGGTTGAATCCTGGGTGCAATCACAAGCTATGTGTGGATGAGCCAAGCAAAAGACTACACATAACCAGGTGTGGTTGGCACACCTGTAATCCTAGCACTTGGGAGGCAGAGGCAGGAGGATCATGAGTTCAAGGCCAGCCTGGACCACATAGTGCAACCCCATCTCAAAACAAAGTAAAAGAATACACACTGCATGACTCCATTTATGTGAAGGTCAAGTGCAGAATGAATGACCCCATGAACTGGGGACCACATGGGGGTTACCAGTGAGACATGGAGGACAGGAAGAGTCCCGAGAGTCTCTGGACACTGCAATATTCTATGTCGTGATGTGAGCAGGGTTGATAGCAGATGTGCAGATGTGCAAATCCCTCCACTGTGAATTTCAGATCCGTGCACTTGACGGCAGGTGAGTTACCCCAGAATTAAGAAGTGAGGGCAGCTGGCCTGGCGACAGTACACAGGCCACCTCCTCATTCCTCCACACGGCCCCATCCTCACCAGTGCCAGCCACAGCTCTCAGCACACAGTAGGAGCTCAGAATTTGCTGTCCGTTCTCTCCCATCCCACGCAGGATCTCGGTGTGTGACGAGGACAAATTCGGTCATAATGAGTTCATTGGAGAGACCAGGTTCTCACTCAAGAAACTGAAAGCCAACCAAAGGAAGAACTTCAACATCTGTCTGGAGCGGGTGATCCCCGTGAGTGACCTGAGGGGAGCGGGGGACATGGGCTGCTGCCCTCCTGTGGATATGTATCGGGGTAGCTCCTTGGGGTTCCCAAGCAGCAGGCTGCACCCGGTGGTCCAGGGGACAGTGAGGATCACAGCTCAGAGCACCAGGGCCCATCCCCAATCTGCTGTCCACCTCCCAGCGTCAACACCATTTCTCCAAATGTCAGCTGGGCTCAGAGCCCCATCTTCATCATATCCTGCTTCATTGCCTTGGCCAAGGGACTGACCCACTGTGAATCTCACTTTTCCTGTCTGTGAAATGGGCGTTATTATAGTATTTGCCTCACAGGATGGTTTTGTTGAAGAGAACACTCAGAATAGACCCTAATAAATAGTCATAAATTAACAGTTGTTATTCTAGGAAATAATGCCACCTTACCACTGTCAGCCATGACGACACAAAGCATCATGTAGGTGAAAGGTGGAGTGTTCAACTGTGGGCTCTGCAGCCAGACGCCTGGGCTTGAATCCTGGCTCTGCCGAGTACATATTAACCTTGCCAGACCTCGGTTTTCTCATCTGTAGAATGGAATAGGTAGTACCAATCTCGTAGGTTCTTTCCAGGATTAAATGTGACAGTTCATATAAAGGGCGAGGATTGTTGTACCGGTGAGGTGTGGTGTTTGACCTTCAGAAAGAACAAGGATCAACTTGAGGTTGATCTGCCTGGGCTGCACCCGGACAACACCAGGGCTTTTTGAACTTAAGATTTGTAGAGGGTCACCCCCTCCGCCCCTGCAAATTCTTCACTTAGAGAAGGCAGGGGAGTTTTGGATGCCCTTGCTTGGCTCCATGGGGTGGGGAGCAAGTGGCTGGGGTAACCCCAAGAGGCAGAGGCTATGGTCTCCAGACACTGGCCAGAGCCCGGTACCCTGGCCCCCTGGCAGTGGGCCAGCACCCCATGGGGAAGCCACAGGGACAGGAAGACAAATCACACCTTTATAACTTAAGCAAAGGAAAAGACCCAACGAGGAAAATTACAAGAGAGTCAGGCTGAATACCAGTCCCCAAATAAGTCTGCCAAGTCTGCCCTGGGAAGGAAGCAGTTTCCTGGGTCCTTGCCTAGTAACACCTGGCTCTCTGGGTGTCCTCTTCCTCCTGCACTCAGTGAGTCCAGCTGACCAGAGCAATGGCCAGGCCCCTGCCTGAGTCAGGGGCTTCTGGGTCTACCCATCTTGTGAGGGTGGACGCTGCAGTGGGACAGACAGGGGCTGTGACACCCCAGAGCACGCTGGTCATCTTCCCTGGCCTTTTGCCTTTCCTCTGTATCCCATGGTGCCCCACCAAGGATGAGCACTGATGAACCCTGGCTCCCAGCTTTTCTTACTCTACAGCCAGGAGATTGGATTTAACCAATGGTTTGCAAACCAATTTTTCTTGGAGCCCAGAGTGCAGCAAAAGGATCTCAGGGGCCACAGGGGAAGACATACCTGGTGGATTAGAACCCAAGACCCCTGAGCCACTCAACCAGAGCAGCTGAAATCTTAGGTTTCGTGTGTCCATTTTCCACTCTGACTCTCAGCATCTTCGTCTATACACTGGGGGTTGTAATAAAATCCATGTCACAGGCCGCACGTTAACCTGTCTGTCTTGTGGTTAGCCATATATAAATTTCAGCTCACGGCTCTGGGAGCCATTGGGAGTTCGAGGGTTGTGGACCTTCTTGCACAGGGACCTGATCTCATAGCCAATGTGTTGCCTCTCCTTTCTGTCTCCTTCGGCAAGATGAAGCGTGCCGGGACCACTGGCTCTGCCCGCGGCATGGCTCTGTATGAGGAGGAGGTGAGCACCGTGTGGGAAGGGAAGTCACAGCCAGGTCTACACCTTCTCCTGGTGGCTCTACACCTTCCTCTTCCTTTCCTCCTTGGCCCCTTCCTCACTCTTTCTCCCACAACTGCCTCCTCCCACAGCAGGATGCCCATTTGTTCCTCGGCCTGGCTCACTGAGCTTCCGCACTGGTTTTACAAGAGTCACAGCCTTGTCCTCCCTCTGTGGGGACATGGAGCAGGCTCTTCCAGCTGTGTGTCTGACAGAGATTGGTCTAAGCCTTGGTGTCTTCTACCTGTGTCCTGGGTGTCGCCCAGGGAGTGTCCTACGAGAAGATGGGCTGGGTCAAGAAGACCAGAGATCAGAACCAGGGCAGGGGACAGGGTCGGGGCTCCCCTGGATCAGAGTCAGGGCTCCGTCCATGTGTAATTCAAAGCAGAGCTGCTGTCCGTGGTTCTCAACGTGTCCTCCTGCCCTGCCATTCACACCGTCCGGCCTTCCCCTCCTAGGCTGACACTGTCCCCCACGTCCCACCCCATGCAGCAGGTGGAGCGGATTGGTGACATAGAGGAGCGTGGGAAGATCCTGGTGTCGCTGATGTACAGCACACAGCAAGGAGGCCTCATCGTGGGCATCATACGCTGCGTGCACCTAGCCGCCATGGACGCCAACGGCTACTCGGATCCATTTGTCAAGCTGTGAGTTGAGAGTCTGGGACCAGGAAGGGCTCCAAGGGGCCAAGAGTAGCAGAGGAGCCTGCCCAAGATGGGGGGTGAAATGGATTAGGCGTGAGGCTGGAGTCACAGGCATCAGACTGGAATGTCACCTGCCACTCATAAGGCTTTATGACTGTCCCCTCCTGGGGAGGGGAGCAGTTGGCATGGGAACCCCATTTGTAGCTCCCAAGAGTCAGCTGCATGCCCTTCCCATGTCTCAGAACCCCCCCACAAAACAATGTGGTTTTGTCCAGGTTCATCCTGGAGACACTTCCCCTAGCCTTAGCACTGACTCTGTCCTGGGGAATAAAAGAGACTGGTATCTGTGTCAGTCACGTCGGAATGGCTTATTCAGCTTCTGGTGCAGTGTCTCCACTGGTAAGCATGCAGACATTGGCTCCATTCATCTCCAAGAACGGAGGCTGGAGGCGTGGCTTCAAGTGGTAAAGCTCCTGCTTAGCAAGTGTGAGGCCCTGAATTCAAACCCCAATGCTGCCAAAAAAAAATCCCCAAGAGTAGGCTCAAAAGAGGTCAGACACAGGGCGAGTGTCCCTTATCCAAAATGCTTGGGACCAGCATGTTTTGGATTTTTTGACCTTTTCTGCATGTTGAAATATTTGCATCTACATGAGATATACTGGGAGTGGGACCCAAGATTAAACACACATTTCATCTACAGTTCATAGCCTCAAAGTCATGTTAGATGGCATTTTTAGCAAACCTGCATTTGACGGCCACCATTCCATGAGGTCAGGTGTGGAATGTACCACTGTGACGTCCCATCAGTGATCACAAAGTTTGACTTGGGATTTTCAGATCGAGGATGTTCAGCCTGTATAAAGCAATTAGTACAGTGCAGGAAAGAAGTGTTTAGTGCCGAAATAACCTTCCTGATTTCCTTAACAAAGGGACACATGTGCCAGGGGCTGGCAGAGAGGCTCAAGTGGTAGAGCACCTGCCCAGCAAGTATGAGGCCCTGAGTTCAAACCCCAGTGCTGCCGAAAAATAAAGAAAGAACACACGTGCCAGGGTGAATCTGAGTTTTCAGAGTAATTTAGTTTTGCTTCCTGCTATGGCCCCCCAAAAAAAAGCTCGCATGGTGCCATCCTGCGTCCAGTTAAATCTCAGCCTTACCACAGTGGTTTTCTGAAAAAATCCTCCCCTCTGCCACACCATCCACACAGAAGAAGCAGAGGTGATAGCAAAACAGCTGCCCCAGCAGCCGTGGTCACGGAGAGGGAACAGGAAACTGACAAGCACTTTCTAATCAAAGGCAGAATTATCCTTGAGGTCTGCTCAGCACTAGAGGTCTTTCAGTTCCTCATGTGTAACTGTCCTTCAAAATTATCTTCAGGCTGGGTATGGCGGCTTGCATTTGTGATCTCAGCACTGGGAAGCTGAGGCTGGAGGATTGTGAGTTCGAGGCCAGCCTGGACTACACAGTGAGACCCTGTGTAAAAAAAAAAGAGAGAGAAGGAGAGAGCTGGGGGAGTGGCTCAGTGGTAGATCGCTTGCCTAGCTTGCACAAGGCCCTGGGTTCCATCCCCAGCACCACACAGACAGACACACAGACACACACAAAGTGTCTTCAAAAACAGTTTTGTGAATGAAAAGGAAATGCTTAACCTCCTACAGGTCGGGAAACTGAAGCATGGTAAGTTTTGTTCACAAAGTTGCTCAGTGACTGACAGCTGGAGTCAGAATCCAAACCCCAACTCTGAGAAGTTTTTCACCTAGAAAATATTTCCAGCACAAATACTTTATTGGCAATGAGTGTCATTGAGACATTTGGAAAAATTTGTGTGGTTGGTAATGTTTTGTTTGGGGGGCTTGAACTCAGGGCCTCATGCTTGCTAAGCAGACGCTCCATTGCTTGAGCCAGGCCTCCAGCTTTCTTTGGTTAAATTCTGTCCTTGTTGCTTTAACTCAGAAAACACCCACCTGTTGTGTGCCAGACGTCATACCTGCACTGTGGAAGAGCCTTCTAGACAGAGAAAACTGCATGTGCAAAGGCCCTGGGGTGGAGAGTGAGAAGGAGTGGAACCAAGAATGTGCCCCAAGATGAGCCTGGGAGGGAACCACACAGGATCATGGAGCCACATAAGGATTTTAAACTACCTTGAGGTCACAGGACAGCCAGCAAATGGCTTTGAGCAGCAGACAGACATGATGAGAACTTTTCCTTTTCCTCCCCACACCCAGCATCTCCCCCAGGACAGACGGTGGAGAGTGGAATACCTCCAGCCAGGGCCACTGCTTACCCCACAGGGAGAAAGGGGTTGGGAACACAGGCTCCCAGTGCAGCCTCTGAGCATAGTTCCCAGCTGTGTGACCCAGGCCATCTGCTTCTGCTCCTCTGAGCCCTCAGTTTCTCTGTATGTAAAATAAGTGGCCATAATTCCACCACTGAGGGTTTGTGTTTCTGAGAGGCGCTCAGGGAGGTGCCGGGCCCCCGCCAAGGCAATGCTGGGATGCCCACTGGTCGTCGCCAGTGTGGGCTGGCCCTAATTTGCTCATCTGTTACCATCCTCCTCCTGAATGGGACATTTGGGGTCAGCACCTGGCTGGCTGTCCTTCGTCCATCCATAACTGCCTCTTGCATCTCCTTCTAGCTGGCTGAAACCAGACATGGGAAAGAAGGCCAAACACAAGACCCAAATTAAAAAGAAAACCTTGAATCCAGAATTTAACGAGGTAAGCCTGCCCCGTTCTTTGTCCTTCCCTGGGATATTTCCTGCGAGGGAGAGAGAAGCCGATTCCCGACTCGGACTGGTGCGTTCTGAGCGAGGAACCATTCACTGCCACCCACCCTCCCCTCGTGGGATCTGAACAAGTGACAAATAAGAAATCAGTAATGAGGAACACAGACCCATGGCAAACACCAGGTCTCATGACAAACTAGCCCCAAAATATTCTAAAATGTGGGGGCGCTCAGTGTGGGTGAGCTCGTGGAGGAGGCACACTCCCCGCAACCCCAGAGGCTGGTCCAATTCTGGAGGGAAGTTCACCAAAGTCCTTCAAAACCTGCAAAGTAGTTATAATTCTACTTATGTGGGGGAATAGGTAATACAATTAAATACTTCCAAACTTAAAAAGTACAAAAGGGCATTCATTCAAGATGCCCCTCCTAGCTGGGCGTGATAGTGAGCACACCTGTAATCCCAGCACTCAGGAGGCAGAGGCAGAAGAATCTCAATTTCCAGGCCAGCCTGGTCTTACATAGCTAGACTTTGTTTCAACAAACAAAAATCCCCCTCCCATTCCAACCTCTAGCCTCTACTTTTTTCTTCCTGAAGCAATAACTTTATCTATTTCTGAGATTTATTTGTAGACAAAGCAAACGTGACCAATTTTTTTTTCAGTACTGGGGTTTGAACTCAGGACCTTGCTCTACCACTTGAACAATGGCCCCAGTGTTTTTGCTTTTAGTTTGTTTTTCAGAGAAGGTTTTGCACTTTTACCTGGTCTGATTTGATCTTCCTACCTCTACTTCCTGAAGAGCTGCTATTACAGGTGTGCACTACCACACCCAGCCAGTGACCACCTTTCTTACTTGTACACAAATGACATCACAGGATGCCCACTAGTCTCTATCTTAAGATGTTACAAACTCATAAAGTCACCTCTTAGAAATTATTATACATAAATCATCATGGATGAACATAATGATTTCACAGCAAGGATGCTATCTACAGTATCATTAATGACAATTTAAAAAAATGGAAACAACCCAAAAGCCCCACTGCTGGGACCAGGCTATGGTACAGTCAGACACCCACTAAACGCAACCATTAAAATGGTGACATAGAAAACTATTCACAAACAGGCCAAGTTGACTTTTACCATAAGTTTTAAAGTGAAAGGAGGACGCTGCAATACCGAATATTCAGTATTATTTCAATTTTTTGAACGATACGGACACATATGGAAAAATATTGACCGTGATTTGTTCTTGAGTGGTTTGCATTACAGGTCATATCTCTTTTTCTCACTTCAATAATGAATGTGAATGAATTTTACAATTAGGCCAAATAATTATTTTCTTAAAAGTCAGGTTGTTTAGGTACAAAAGTACTCAGTCCACTTCGAATACCTTTAGTCCCTGATAAAGAAGGGAAATCCCTCTGAAGCCACAAGGATGGAAGGGCTGAGTTCAAGGTCATCATCAGTCTTTAGGGGACCCTAACCAGGACCAGCTGTACTACAACCCCGGCAGCCTCCCGTTTCGCAGAGAATTTGTTACACAGGGTTTTTGGGAAGGGGACCGCTGGGCCTGGGGTGGGGAGAATCCTTTGCTCCCAGAATGCTCTGCACCAGGGCCTCCCAGCAGCCTTTGGACCCCAGGGGCTCAGAGGATTCTCGCTCACCCCTTTCTTTCCCGCACCCAGGAGTTTTTCTATGACATCAAGCACAGCGACCTGGCAAAGAAGTCCCTGGACATCTCAGTCTGGGACTATGACATCGGCAAGTCCAACGATTACATCGGTGAGTGACCCTGCTGGGGGCCAAGTTCACTCCTGGTCTGTCAGCAGCCACAGTTTCCAAAAGTTAAGCTGAGCCCATGACCCTGAGTTTGGGACTGCCTTTATGCAAAAGGCACACACACCTTGATCATTTGCTGAACAAAGAACTCACAGTAGAAAAACTCAGCCACATGAGAGAAGAGGACTGGTCTCTGTCGAGAACAGGGCGCCCAGGAGTCCCCTTAATCTGTCTGCCAAGTCCGGAGTGAAGGGTTTCCTTTTCCCCATCCCCCTCCAGATGATGGGGGAGTCATTAAATATGGGGCAGGACGGGAACTCCAGGCAGAGGGCACAGCCTGAGCAAGGCAGGATTAACTAGAAGGATGACAGAGACTCTGGAATTGGATGGTTAGTGACCAGTCTTGGAAATCGAGAAGAAACACTAGAGAGGTTGTGGCAGGTAAGTTTCCATGAGCAGAGTGAAGATTCATAGAAAGTCTTTAAGAAATGGACACTAGTGCTGGACTAGGGAGTCATGGTAGGTTCTTGAGGTGCAGAGGCCAGTGGAAGGATGATAGCAGCAACTTTGTCACAACAGCCCTCTACAAAGAATGGCTCCCTGACTGCTGGGTGGAAGTTGGAGATGTCACTGCTCAGTGACAGTTTTTCCCCAACTTCAGTCTGGAATGAGCACACTATGTGTTCCTCTATCTGACCCCCTGCTCTTCTCTTTCCACTTTGTCCCCCAGGAGGCTGTCAGCTGGGGATCTCAGCCAAGGGCGAGCGCTTAAAACACTGGTATGAGTGTTTGAAAAACAAGGACAAGAAGATTGAGCGCTGGCACCAGCTACAGAACGAAACCACGTGTCAAGCGACTAGGCCTGCCCCTGTCCCACCCACATCCCTGTCCCATGTCCCATCCATGCTCAGGCTGCCCCCAGCCTGCCCAGCTGCCGTGCACTCTGGTCTCTTCTCTGTGCCTCCCCCCACATCCCTGGCTGCCCCCCCAGCCTGCCTTTGAGGTCCCCCTCACCTCGAGCATGGCTGCCAAAGGCCTCCTCCCCCTCCCCAATCTGGGATGCTGTGCAGGCTTTGGCTTTTGTCCCTCTCTGGTCCCCAGGATGGAGCAGAAAGAGGTTGTTCATTTAGTGACCTCTCAGGTTGGGTAAATCACAAAGGTTCTTTACTACTTGGGATTGGTCTTGAACATACAACACACACCCAAACACAGAGTCCTGTCTGCATGTTCCTGCAAGGGTCAGAGGACCCCATGCTATGAGGACAAGCACTGGGACATCCAGGCTCCCACACCCCTCCAAACTACACCCCCAAGGGCCAGGAGGCAGCCACTCGTTTTCAAAAACCTGCCCTCCCTCCAGGTGCACCAGGAGTCATCAATCTGCTTCCTAGCAAAAATAATGCCCCTTCTCTATCACCTTCTTTCTTCTTTGCCTCCCTCTCACCTCTCCCAGCTCCTCCATCCCAGGAGCCCTCCCTGGCAGCCTCTTGCCTCTTCTCTGCAGTCCCTGCCTCCCTTTCCCTCTCTCGGGGGCAAAATAGCAAAAAGGAGCAAGTGTATGGTAACTGGCCTCATCCTCACTTCCTGCCAGCTTGACCAGCAACCCTGGGATAAAACTTGAATCCCATCGGGCCCTGGCCTCTGAAATCTCCCATTTCTCCCGTGAGGTCTTGGGCCCTCGGTGGGCACAACCCAGGTGCACAGCACAGCAGCATCTCTCGAGCAGTGTAGATGCCCCGTACGGGAGTGTTCTCAGCCTAGCCTGCCCAGGTGGGCCCAGGAGGCCTGGGGAAGACCAGAGCCATGGCCTCCTTCACAGCCAAAGCTGTTCTCCCTCCTCTGCTCTTAGTTAAGTGAACAAATGGCCCCTGATGCATTTGGACCGTTTCCCTCTCATCTTTGTGTCCCACCCAGAACCACCTAAAGTCTGTTTCTTGGTTCATCTGTCTCTTTCATTCTCTTTTCCAACTTTTCTGGAGGAACCAAATAACATCAGAAATATAAAACTTGGAAAAGACAGGCCCTGGTGCCAAAGGCTTGGGGATCCATCACGAATCCAGGCGAACATTAGAAGTTTGAGGTCAGCGTCAGGCAATCTTGGATGCCCTGTGAGAAAAGTTGGTATTTCCCAGTTTTGGAAATCATGACAAAACATCCCTAGCCTCACCTCCACCCTCTCCACAGAAGCCATCAGAGCAGTTCTAAATCTTACTTTCCCAAACTCAGAGCTTTCAAGCTTCCTGTTCCAAACCCTCCATGTTCAGCTCCATGTACAGTTCACAGGAGGGCTCATTTCTTGCTTTTCAATAACCATTTTGTAAATATCAGGCTCTTCACCTGTTGGCCAAGGTGGTCAACAGCCTCCTGGCTGCCATCTTCCCTCTTGACCTTGACCTTGACTTTCCCAGTTAGCCCCAGTGGCTCCACTCTCAGCCCACCTCCCTGCCACAGTTTTGCTTGTAGGAGAAAGCATGCTGACTGTTGTCACCCAAGCCTGACGCTGGTGTCCACACTGGAATCAGCAAGCAGCAAGCTCACAGCAACCCTGGTCTCCCGGTCAAAGATAACTGTGTACCCCCGCCACACACACACGAGTCCTGCCTCGAATACACACCTGTTCTCTGCATGCACGACAGCCCACTACCATGTGACTACATAGCAAAAAATAAAGTAGAAATATCCAGGACAACTGGTGGTCTGCCTCCTTCCTTTCTAGTTTCTAGAAGTTCTGTCTTGGCACCATGGTGCGTGCTCTTTGGCTGGTCCACACTGGGTGTGCATTTGCTCCAGCCTTGAGGGAGGCAGGAAGAGAACAAGATGGTTGTGGTGTCTGTCCTGGTGGAGGCTACCTTCTTTTTGAGCGATTTTGTTTTGGGCATGGTCAGGTGGGCTCCAGGTAGCTTGGGTGACCCTCACCCTCCTACAATACGTTCTGTGGGCACCCACCAAAGAGAGACATCTTCATCCTTTGCCTTCCCATCCTCGCCTGGGAAAAGTCCCAATGATTGTAGAATGCAATACTGCAGCTGTTAAAGGAGGTCACAGAGCTGAGTCAGGCTGGATTCCAGACAATTTCCTGCTCTCACTCTTGACACAGTAGTTCTCAACGTTGTGGGCTGAAGTCCTCATGTCAAATCACCTGGGGGATTTATTTTTAAGTCACCGTGCTCTCCTCATCTCCCCACAGATCCTGTGAAACCTGGCGACATGACACCTCGTGGCTGCCATTTCCATGACTTTGAAACCCCTGTGCCCTCAAAGTTGACTCATTTTCCTGCAGTTAGGATGGCTGCCTCTAGGTGGTGGAAGTGGCCAATCAAGGCCATGCCAGCCTCTCCAGACACTTGGCCCTCCCCTGTGCTCATGGCGGACATCTCTAATCCATGCCTGCGAGGTGCCTGCAAGTGGTCCCTGAATCCTTCTCAACGCAGGGTCCCAGGCAGTCAGTCACAGGAAGCAATCAAAAAGACACCCAATTTCCATCCCCAAAATGGCTGATCTTTTCCCCAGAATGAGGGCCTGCCTAACATGCTAAGAGGGATATACACGAAGAAAGGTTTTATAAATATTGGATGATGCTTTTCCCTCCATTGAAATAAAACACCAAAAAAAGCACCTGCCCATAACTCACGCCAGTCTCCTAACCATTTAGTCTGTCACCAATCAGCTGGCTGCTATCCAGCCTGCTTTAGATAGCCAGAAAGAAGTTGTGGCAAGGGTGTCTGCACCAATCACAGCACTGTGTTTGCACCAATCACAGCAGTCCCTCATGCAAATGAAGGGCTGTGTTTGCACCAATCTCAGACCTTCTGCTGGGCCACATGGGGAAGTGCTACCACTTCATTCTGGGTAGAAATGGCTGCAGGGTCCAGAGAGTTCTCCAAGGCTCACTATGCACAAAAAGTGCAGTGCAGACTCTTTGTGAGAGTTGTGGCTGGGACAGTGCCTTCAGGAGTGGGAGTTGTCCCTAGGCAACAATAGCTGTGGTTGTGTGTGTAGCTTCCTCTAGTTGTCTTATAGTGTTCAAAGCTCGGTGCTGGCAAGAGGGTAGTCTGGTACCTGCTTGGCAGCTGGGGTCCCAGGAAAGGGTCTTACAGCTGTCAGGGAGTCAAATTGCCCTAGCCCCTAAGAGCTGTGCTTATCTTAAGAGAGGCATTAAAAGGGTTGCTTCCAGTTACAATGCTTTAACAGTGCTCTGACTGCTCAACTCCTGCCCCAGTGTCCAGGGAGATGTGGGGACCTCTGATCTGTATCAGGTCCCACTTTCAGATCCTGCCTGTCACCACTAGCTGTGGAACCTTGGCCAGGTCACTTCACTTCTCTGGGTCTCAGTTTTCTCATCTGGAAAATGAGGACCATAAATATTTCCAAGAGTTCTTGAGAGACAGCGGTCAGCTAATCCATGAAACCTCCCTGACATTGTGGAGTCTTGAGAAATGCCATTCCACTGGTCACCATCACTCCACACATTTGGGCTCCCACACATGTCAGGGAACACACTCTGGAGCTGGTGGAGATCATATGAGGACAACACCCTCGGAATATCAGAATGGAAAGATGGCAAGGCAGAAAAAGATCTCCAGGTTTCTGACCAGAAAGAAGCAGAGTCCAGGTGGCACCACAAGGCTTTCAACCACCAGCTGGTGATATTTTTCTGAGTGGAAGTTAGGAGCCAGAGCAAGTGGCTGAGATCTGTTCCCCCATGAGGCCAAAGAGAAGGGCAGGTCATGGCACTGATGGTTCCTGGGAAAAGCACCCCCAAGAGCAGCCAAGTTTATGGTGAAGAACTCTGTGAGTTGGTCCCTCCCTCTGATCTACTAGGGAGGTGACCTAATAGAGTGATGTGACATCACAGAGGACTATGAAACTCAAGTGGGTGCCAGAGGTGTAATTTGCTTGGCCCTGGTCCAAGTGTGCTGCCCGACCTTAAGCAAATCCCTATCCCTCTTTCATCTTGGCACTGCCTGGGTAGGACATCTGAGTCCCCTGATTCCATGAGAAATGCTCAGGGTCCACAAATGTGCCTCAGTTTCCAATCATTCTGAAGGACGGACTGCAGGAGGTCCCAAAAGGTGACAATTGGCCAAAGAGACACCTTTTCCTTCCCAGGAAACTTCTGTCTGCACTTGTGTGACATCTCTGCCCTCAGGCAATAGAAAAAGGCTATAGAAACCCAGTTTCCAACCTGACCCACCAGGACCACCTGTTTCTGAATTCCCCTGAATGCCCCCTCATGCAGCTTTTCTCCTCTCTTCTCTACAGATAAAATCTTTCTGACCTCTGCTGCTGGAGTCCATCTGTGCTTTCATTCTTAGAGCAGACCCAAGAACCCTGAGCACCTGAAATTCCTGTGTGTGTCATCTGTGCATCATAATTGGTGATGTAATAAGGGACAAGCCATCACCTGAGGTTGGTACAGGTTGTGCCGAACTGGAAAAAGCTGCCTAGGAAGTGACCGTGAGTGTCCAGCACTCCGATGGAGTATATTTTCCAGGACAGCCCCCCCAACTACGGTCTAGCTACGGTGGACCTCTCAGGCTGACCTCTCTCTCTCTCTCACTCTATCTGTCTCTCTTGTTAAGGAAGTTTCTCCCTTGGGAACTTAAAGAAAAGCTCTGAGCCCATCACAGCTATAAGGCAGGCAACCCAAGGAATCGGGGGCTGGCTGGGGGCTTATACCAGACTGCCAATGCTACAGGGGCAGAGCCAAACTTCAGTGCACTGAGGCTTTTTTCCTCTCAACTCTCAGCTCCCTCCCTCCTTAAACTCTCTCCCTTTAAATTTCTGACCTGCTTAAGAGGAGGTCCAAAAACAGTCAGTGGAAAAGAAAGTTTCTTTTCAAGCTATAAGGATGGTCTGGCTGGGCCCTCCCCAGTGTCACTGAAGGCTGGAGGTGCAACTTCCTGACCCGTCCTGAGATCCAAAGGTGGCGAAATCTCTGACCCCTCCAGCCTTGTCTGTGGCAAACAGGCAATCGGATCTCTACACTTTCTAGGCCAAGAGTAGAGGTCACTCCTCGCTTCCAGTGCTTCCAGTGCTGAGGTCAATCCCTCAGGCAGGATTGACCTGGACAGCAGTGGTGACCAATAATCCCTCATGCATTGAGCCTAGAAACTCTCTTTCCCCCCAATCCTCAGCTTCTCCTTCTCCTTTCCCAAGTAGTTCAGGATGAGTGCCCCCTTCATCCTTTGCTCTAAACAGCAGTGGGGTTCCTTCTTCAACAAAAAAATCCTTGCATCCCCCATGACAGGCACAGAAAGTGCTAGTCTCTAACTTGGGCTTAACTGCCTTTGTCAAGCATCTGGTTAAAATAATTAAGCAGGGTACAGCAGTCTGCCCTCAGGGAAGGAAAAAAAAAAAGAAAGGAACAGAAACCTCAAAGGTCAACTGGTTAAACAGGTTCTGCAGTCTACCCTCAGGGAACAGGGGAAAAAAAACAATCTCTGTTTTTTCTTCCTTACCACAGCAAAGCCCTCTTTTTTTTCATAAAAAGATACATATGCTTCACAGGATATATAGGGGGACAAAAGTCTACCTCATTAGTTATCCCAGTCCACACCTCCCTCTTGGTTACTTTGATGGAGTTATTTTTAAATTGCAAGCCTTCAGCTGGTAGAGGAAAACTGGGTACCTGGGTCTCAGGGTAAACAGGCAAGTCAAAATCAGTAGATAATAAATTGGCCAGGGGCATTCCAGGGGCGTGGCTGCAACCAGAATATCTAAATGACTTTCAGGAGCTTAGCCACAGGTGGCAGTGACCGGACAGCACAGGAGAGAGGGATGTTCTCTCCACACAGTTTTTCCTCATCTGGGGATGCCTGGGTAAAAAGGAGAAACCTCTGTTAAGGTGATCAATTTTCCCTTGTTTCCCTTTTTAGATGGGAAATCAAGCCTCAAGGGTCCAGGAAAGATCCCTCCTTGCCTGCTTACTAAAATATTAATTTTAACAAAAGCAATTCAAATTTTACTGCACCCAACCCTGGCCACTGTATCCTCTGGAGATGAGGAAAGATGGCCAGAAGGAGGGAGCATTAGTTATAATACCATTCTTCAATTAGACAGGTTCTGTAAAAAAGAGGGGAAATGGACTGAAGTGCCATATATTCAACTTTTCTTTTTCCTAAGAGACCACCCAGAGTGGCTAAGCAAATGCAGGCTAGATACCCAGACCATGGTGACCGTTTGCAAAAAGTCCCAAACTCTCTTGAGGAACCAGAACCAAAACAACCATCTGATGCTCCATGAGCTCCCCCTCTCCCCCCTTACCCAGCTACCTCACACACCCGACATCGTCCTACAGGACTCTACCCCTCCAGTTAATTTCTGGAGGGCATAGGGCTCACCTTCCTTTTAAAGGAAGTAAACTTAAAGAAATAAAAAAAGGATTTAGGAAATTACACAGAAAACCACTTCATCCACGGTATTCTTGCAGATCTAAGGAGAGCCAAGATAAAACCTCTTAATTACTCCCAAATCACAGCTGTACAGTAAACACCCCTACAAACTCCTCTTTCCAACAGAGACCTAAGGATGCTTTACAAAAACATACCAACATTGCACCTGAGTCACAGGAGAGGGAAATTGTCCTAAAAGATAAATTTCTAACATAGTCAGCCCCAGATATCTGTAAAAAGCTTTGGAAACTGGTGGCTGAAGGAAGCAGAGATCTAGACCAATTGGTCCATATAGCCATATCTGTATACTATAATAGGGACTTAGAAAAAGAAAAGAAGGACCTAGAGAAGGAAAAGAGAAGGGATAAACGGCAGGAGGCTCTGATCGCAGTGTTCAGAGAGGCTTCACTGGGGCAAAGTCCAAACCCAAGGACATGCTTTCAACATGGACAGGCAGCTGATTTTAGGAGGGAGTGCCCCCAGAGAAAGTTACCTCCGGGACCCTGCCCCGTTTGTCAGGGAAAACATTGGAAGGCACACTGTCCCCAGTTCTCAGGGAAATCGAGGCCAGAGCCTCTCGCCCAGTGACGGGTCCTGGGGCCTCCTATCCAGGCTCCTGTGACCACCATAACAGCAGGGAGCCCTGGGTTATACTCACGATTGAAAAGCACAAGGTCAGCCTCCTTATCGATACTGGAGCCAGCATCTCAGCTATTTTTCTCTCTCCCGGACCCAGGGCCTCCAAAAAATTACTGTTCATGGCATATCAGGCCAGCCCCTAGAGTGTTATTTCACTCAGCCTTTAGTCTGCTCCTGGGGAGATTTCTACTTGTCACTCCTATTTCATTGTCCCAGAAACCCCTACTCCTCTGCTAGGGCAAGACCTTCTATCTAAATTGGGGATACAGCTACTTTTACCCCTAGGAGAGTACTTTTGCTTGCCCCTGATAGAGGAACAAGTAGACTCCATGGTGTGGACAGATGGATATACCATGGGACAGGCACAAACAGCAGTCCTAGTCCTAATTCATCTCAAGGACCCCTCCTGGTTTCCCCATCAAAAACAATGTCCTTTAAAGCCAGAAGTTAATGAGGGGCTAATTCCCATAATCAAAGACTTAAAGAGACAGGGACTGCTAACAGAGTGCTCCAGCCCATATCATACTCCTAATCTTGGTGTCAGAAAGGGACCTAACAAATGGAGGCTAGTCCAGGATCTCTGCCTGATCAATGAAGCAGTAGTGCCTCTCCACCCTGCAGTTCCAAATCCCTATATGCTTATAGCCCAAATACCCACAGGTACTGCTTACTACTCTGTCCTGGAAGTAAAGGATGCCTTCTTTTGCATTCCCTTACACCCTAAAAGTCAATCTATCTTTGCCTTTGAGGACCCCACATGAAAGTCTGGGCAGGTCACTTGGACTGTCCTCCCCCAGGGATTCAGAGACAGCCCCCACCTCTTTGGGTTAGCCAAGACTTGGCAGAATGGCAGTATCCACAAGCAACTCTGCTACAATATGTAGATGACCTCCTGCTCTGTGGATCAAATGAGCTTGTCATTTCATGAGCCACTGAGTCCTTTCTAAACTTCTTAGCAGATAGAGGTTATAAAATCTCTAAAGAAAAAGCCCAATTGTGTCAGTCTAGGGTTACATATTTAGGTCTTGTCCTGGAGAAAGAAATGAGGTCTCTAGGAGAAGATAGAATCCATCCAATCCTGATATTTCCCCACCTAAAACTCTAAAGCAATTGAGGGCCTTTTTGGGGGTCACAGGATACCGTAGAATTTGGATCCTGGGATATGCAGATCTAGCCAGGACCTTATATCAAATCCTTAAGGAAGCACAGAAGGATACCCAGCCCTTTATTGAATGGGATAACAAGTCAGAAAATGCATTCCACAGGTTAAATAAGGCCCTATGACAGCTCCCGCCCTGGGTCTCCCAGTACTAGACAAATTTTAATTATATGTCTATGAAAAGGGAAGACTGGCCTTGGGAGTGGTGACTCAGCTCCAGGTCATCACTCCCCAGCCAGTAGGCTACTTAAGTAAGAATGAGATCATATAGCCAAGGGATGGCCAGGATGCCTTAGAGCAATGGCCACAGTAAGCCTTCTAGTGCCTGAAGCTCAGAAACTTATCCTAAACCTCTCCCTAACGGTTTATACCCCACACAACCTAGGGGGAATTTTAAACTCAAAAGGAGAACTTTGGCTATCTGATAGCTGTCTACTTAAATACCAGGCCCAGCTTCTGGAAGGGACAGAAATAACTTTAAGGACCTGTCAGAGCCTAAATCCTGCATCCCTTCTACCAGAGGCAGAGGGAAATCCTAAGCACTCATGTGAGGAAGTACTTATGGAAAATAATTCTGCCTGACCTGACTTAACTGATCGGCCCTTAAAAAACCTAGATCTAGAATTATACACTGACAGCAGTTCCTTTGTCAAAAATGGTGTCAGACATGCAGGGTTTGCAGTTGTAACAAGAATTTGGCATCCTCAAATCAGCTCCTTTTCCTCCTAATACAAGTGCTCAATTGGCAGAATTAGTGGCCCTAACAAAAGCCCTAAAACTGTCAAAAGAACAGAGAGTCAACATCTATACAGATTCTAAGTATGCCTTCCTGATCCTGCATGCTCATGCAGCCATCTGGAAGGAAAGGGGAATGCTAACTGCAACAGGAACAACTTCCCATAGAAATAAGAGAGGTTACTCTAATAGTTTTTGGGAGAACAGCATTAGTTGCAGCCCTAGCTGGAATCAGCTATGGGGTGATTGCCAATCATGTAACTGCAAAAAACCTAACCAAAGTGGTAGAGGACACCTCAGACCAGGTAGGACTTGCTATTAAGGACATACAGAGGTCTTTGTCGTCCCTTGCCTATATGGTAATGGACCACTGCCTGGCCCTAGATTTTCTTTTGGCTAAACTAGGAGGGGTATGTGCCATTGCCAACACTTCCTGTTGTACATTTATAAACACTTCAGGCATTGTAGAGGAACGTGCAGACTACATTCTCCAACAGGCTAAATGGCTCCGGGAGCAACCTCTTGAAACTCAGGTTTCTACTGAGGTATGGGACCAAATAAAATCCTGGCTCCCCTCCAGGACTTGGTTCCTACCCTTTCTGGGGCCTACAGTTGCCTTTATTCTCTTGCTTGTGTTTGGGCCTTGCATTTTACACTTCCTTGTCAAGTTTGTTTCTTCTCGCCTAGAATCCATCAAACTACAAATGCCTCTGGTGGAGATGAAAATGACCTTGTACTGCGGTCCCCTTGACAACCTCTCTCGTGGTCAGCCCTGACGCTGTGGGCCCCTTCAGAATCACCCCCTGTTAGCAGGAAGCAGTCACTGAATAGACTCTGTCCTCCCTATTCCTAACAACAGTTAGGATGACCATTGAGAGGGGGGAATGAAGGACGGACTGCAGGAGGTCGCAAAAGGTGATAAGTGATCAAGGAGACACCTCTCCTTCCCAGGAAACCTCTGTCTGCACCTGAGTGACATCTCCATCCCCAGGCAATAGAAAAAGGCTATAGAAACCCAATTTCCAACCTGACCCACCAGGACCACCGGTTTCCTGGTCCCCCTGCATGCCCCCTCATGCAGCCTTTTTCCTCTCATCTCTACAAATAAAATCTTTCCAACCTCTGCTGCTGGAGTCCACCTGTGCTTTCATTCTCAGAGCGGACCCAAGAACCCTGAGCACCTGAAAGTCCTGCACGTATCATCTGTGTGTCAATTCCTCAAAGGCCATGGCCATTATACCAAGCTCAGGCCCCGACCTCGAATAACACAAGCCTGCCTTTTCCTGTTTCTGTTTCCTTAAAGGGAATGATTGTTAGGAAAAACGCCACTCTCAAAGAAAGCTCAGGAGAAAAGTCTCACGTCCACAGAGCAAAGTTTAGTGGCAGGCCCAAACTGCCAGGCTGGCCGAGGAAAAGATGGCGCAGCCCCGAGTCTGGGGGAGCAGTAGTTTTTATGGAAGGGGGAGGGTAAGGAGTTTAGGGCATGCACAGTAGTCTCTGGTAGGGGTGGATCTGTCTTAGAGGATGGGAATTGGTTTAAGGGCGGGGCTGCCATTTTGACTGATTCACAAAATGGTGACATTATTGTTCTATCATTCCCCCATTTTTTCTTTAATAATGATGAGGGTAGGGACTGAGGATCAGGAATTGGGGCGAAGCATTGGTCTCTTCAGCTGCTTCCTGCTGGTAGGAGGTGTTGTAGGGGCAGGGTGCTCAGGCTCCTGTGTCCTGGTGGGGGCCCTCAGAGCAGTCTCCTGGACAGTTCTGGAGAGGTTGGTATCCCTGGAGATACAACTGGTTAAATTTTTGATCAGCAATAGCAGACATGTAATATGATACAAGGGAGGAAGCTTAAGAGTAGGAGAGCAAGAAGAAACAGGCATTAGGATGGGCATTGGCCAGGAGAACCACTGTGAAATGTTCCATAGAGGATTTCAAGAGTCCTCCAATTCCCTTCTCCATTTTCTAATTTTTTCTTTAGAGGTGCCACCATTGGGGGAACCCATTGAACTTGACAGCAGTGGGTGTCATGAGAATGATCAGATGAGGGCTGGTCCATCAAAGTTCCAATTTTAGAGGGTAGAAGATCCTTTTGGAGAACAAGATGCCCTGCTTTAACAGAAATTGTTATAGGGTGGGGCAGGATCTGGCTTGCATGCTCTCTGAGAAGTTCCCTGAGAAGGCAGGTAGTCAGCCAGAGGAACAGAGTCTGTTGGAGGCAAGTTTTCTAAGAGAAATGGGTGGCCATACATTATCTAAGACCCAAACAGGAATATTAGGAGGAGCATAAAAAGGTGTCTGTTCACGGACTACATACCTAGGGATCTAAATTCTGCAAAATCCTATAACTGCCAGGAAAGCTGTAAGCTGTCTCGTGGTATGGGGGTTGGGATGCATTTATGACTCAAA